AGAAAACCACAACATTATCAAATTTGTGGAAACAGGGTTGGCTGACGTTAAAAGCTAGAGCTGTTATAGCCAGATGATTAAATAGGATTGGAAATTTTAAGGAGATAATCTTGCTCTCTATTCTAACATTTAAAAAAAAAAAAAAAGCCAAAATAAAAGAAAACAACATCAACAAAGACTCCTATAGGGCATCTATCCTCCATAGATTATTTCTTGGAGACTGAGTTGTTATTATCACTTAAAAGTCATGATGGCATGGGGATTGCTTAAGCAAAAGATGGCACATTCTTGGTAGGAGAGAAATTTAATCTGTGCTTGATGCTCTGATTGAATGTAAATATTATTCATGGCATATAGCTTAGTCCTCTTTCCTAGTGGTTTTATGGCTTGGGCTTCATTGGGCTTCTATTGCTGAGCTGCATCATTTCCTGAATATATCATCTGGATTGGAAGCACTTAACGAATTCTGGATTGACAGAGTATAAGGATCAGTGAAGCTGGAAACTGTTTGTATTTTAAACTATCTAAACATATTATTCCCACTGTGCCTACTTTAGTTATTACGTGTGGGTCATAGCATATACTGTGGAGGCTCTTGTATTTTTTTCTGAAAATCCATGATGTTGTATTAGATATTCCTAAGGAGGAAAAAGCCATCTAAAAGAAACTCAGGTTCTCTTTTGACTCTGATAAGTACAGAAGTGGCCTTTCAGAAGCAGTTGCCTACTCAGAGGGATGAAAAGGGTCACAGCTTATGTCCAATATGTCCGGCTCACCCTCTTGATGATTACTGGTATATGACTTGCAGAAATACTTGCAGTGTTTTTCATGAACCTAAATTTGTATGGAATGTCTCTGTGTATCATTTCTAACCTCTGTGAACTCTGTGTCCAGGGTTCCAATGGTCAGATGTAGGTTATGCTTCCCAGTTTCAGAGCCCACAAGAATAGGCAGCTGAGATCTGTTACCATACAGAGCCAGATAGAAGCAGTATTTAATTTTCTATTTATTTTGTATTTCTATTATATCTTTTTTGCAAGGTTCTCAGACAACTTCACAGCTGATGACTACAGCACTGAAATATTGCTGCCTTCAACCAAGTGTCACGTAAACAGTCAGGACCAATTGCTTTCTCATTGTACAGCATCCTCTGAATGCTGTAAAGTGTGTGAGTGTTGTATCTATATTTGCCAGTACATACAGACTTTGTAGCTGGAAGTTCTGTGTGTGATGTTCCTACATTTACACACTTTTCATCCTCCCTAGGCTTATGCTGTTAGGGCAATGCTCTTCATTTAATGGAATCATTTCTGATTTACACTCTTGTAAGTAAGACTGGAATTTGAGCCTTGATCTTTTTAATGCAAATTCATCAATTCTGTTTGATGAAAGGATTCCACTACGTTCTTTAGTCACTTCTTGAAGTAAAATCATTTAATTAGTTCTAGGCAGCAAGAAGTCCCTACTCTTGCAGTTAGCCCCAGAGCTGGAGCCTTGTGTTGGCAATCAAAACTCTTATTGTCTTGTTTTCAAGGAGTTATTTATTTTTCATGGACAGTGATCACTGATGACTGTTAACAATGACAACAATGATTTCAAAGCTGAAAGTTAAGAATAATAGGTTCTTATGTGCTAGTGCTCTTCTGGAGCACTATGTGTTCAAATGAATCCCTTTAATTCAAATACTGTATTCAGCTTTTAAATTCACACCTGGGTGTTGATCTGACAGTGGTGCAAGTTAGAAGGTCACAGAGGTTTCCCCGATGTAAAATCAAAGTGAATTCAGAAGCACACTGCAGGTACTGGAATAGTGTAAAATAGAGGACATCAACATAACAAATAGCTGGCAAATCCAAAACTATATCAAGTGGCAAATGTCTACAGTACTGCAAATTAACTGCTGTGGCAGGAGTGTCTGCAGTGGTGCTCAGAATGGAAAGAAGAGAACTCACTTACAGAGATCATAAAATAATTCTCTCCCCTGATCTTTGGCTCTTTAAACCAGAAGAGGCAGAACAAGCTGGCTCTGAGCAATCTTTTATCGGTGATGAATGTGGCACTGCTTTGTCCAGTAAAGTTGCTGATTTACTAATAGGAAAAAAATAAATCTTTAGTGATGACAACTACGTCTCTAACCTGATAAAAAAAAAAAAAAGTTCAAACAGATGGGTATCTCTGAGACTGTAAGTGATGAAACAGCCTAGAAGAATACAGGTAGCATCTGATGAGACCTAATATTGAAACCTGCAGTCACATCACCAGCATCCCCGTCCAGATATATTCATTTTCTTTATGCTCACAACACAGCCTATGATACGGCAAGGTTTGATATAGCAGGTGTGCTTCTTCAACAAACAGCTAATAGATGTTTTAAACAAATGTGTGAAATGTGGATTTAAATTCCTGAGACTTTCTTATTGCACTGACAGCAAAGTTAAGAGACTGTTGATGCTTCTAGTAAATTAAAAAATATATAGGTCATCTGCTCTACGGATTTTGGAGGGAGAGAAATACTTTTTTTTTTTTTTGCTTACCTGAAAACATTACATATGAGAATGCATTTTTAAAACTTATTATTTATGTATGAATTTCCACAAGGGTTTTTGATACTTGAATTTTTGTTCCTCAAGACTAATCTGATGGACCTCAAAAATTATTGCCATCAAGTCTGATTGACAGACTACCGAAACCAACCAGGTAAAGCATGTGAGCAAAGAAGTGAGCCCTACACTATTGGCAGAGCAGCCAAGGCGAGCTTAGAAAATTGTCTGTGGAAAATATGGAGTTTGCAGTATGCCAAGTGCATCAAAAGATTTATACCTATCACATATTGACGCTGAGCAAATGTATTTTGCTGATTAGAAATCAAAACTGAAGGGCTTCTAAGTGCGTCTTCTTTGTCACAGGGACTTAGGAAAAGAAATTTCTTCTGGCATACTTTTTTCTCCTCTGTAGACTAAAAAGGCAGTTGGGTAATTTTTGTGATTTTTATGTGAAAGCATACTTATCCATTAATCCTTAAATAGTAACAATTGAGTATAACTTCATGTCTGAAACAGCTAATGAAAGTACCAAATAGGAATTAATGAACATTTTTACATTGAAGTTAGAGTTGGGAAGAAGGGGCATATGTAATCTCAGTACTTTCATAAGCACTGCAGCAAGCTGAAGAGGATTTGTTCTGTTTTGTTTGAAGAATGACAGCGTAAATTACAAGAGAGAGAAGCTATTATTCTAACAGGGAGGATTTCACAATATTCTTAATCCGTAACTGTACGTAAAGTTAATTGAAAATTCATTCCTTTTTGTCTGATATCTTTTAATCATCAATGCTGTACAATACTTCTGCTTGAACTAGCAAAGCACATGTGTAAGGGAGTTAAACCAATCATTTTAGTTATAAATTAGGACACATAAAGCTGTGGAAATTTCATTTCTAAATACAAAAATGAAGGACTACTCCCATTTAATCTTGAGGAACATGACTGTTTTAAAGGCTAGTCTTGCCCTTGGCTTAGGAACATACAGACATCTTACATAAGGCAAGAAAGATAGAAAGTAATGTAGTTACAGTTCCTGAAGCCCAGAAAAAATGAAAATTGTTTCTAAGACTGAGAAGAGAGCTAAAGATTTGTTTTGATTTAAGGTATAAATAGCTGTAGAATATTTGTTTTATTCAGCAGCACTGAAATGACCTTTTCAGTATATAACATAAATCCCATTATGCAATTAATGGCAAGGTGGAACTTTAGGCAGTGACAGAAATGTTATTTTATTTATATGCATAGTGATTTATAGTTTTTTGCTCAACTGCTTTTACAGCTTCACCAAGTTACAGTACAGTTAATAGCTGATGTTATGCCTCAGATAAACTAATACAATGTACATATCCATTGCAAGACAGAGCAAGGAAAATGTTAGTTTTATTTTTTGTGACCTTTAAATTCTGAGAACTGGCTAAAATCAATTTATAGTCCAAAAAGACAGGATGATATCCACCCTAAACAGTAAAATTGCTTTGGCTTTGAAAGTGTGCATTAAAATACAACACCTAGGCAATAGCCATTGATTTGGATACAGAATGAGGAGTGAAGGTAGGTTTGTAAAGTGTAGGAGGTCAGGGAATACCCTAATATGTTTCAAGTGAGTCTGTCTCGAATGCTTAAGAAACAGATTTAGAGGAAAAACAAGGAACTTGACCTAATAACTACTTTTATTAGAGAGTAAACATCAGTTCTCTTGGCAAATCACTCTGTGCAGAGAAAAGAGTACAGCCATCCAGACTATCCCTAGAGAACTATGCATTGAATTATGAGAATTTCATTGAGAGAGAGCAAGATTGGATGACTGATAAGTGGTTGCTATGATATTGCCATTTTCTGCTTGAGGTCAGGACCCAGCTTTCCTCCTGTCATAACAGAAGACCTCTTCTAATGATCAGTCCTCAGAGATTAATGGGCCAGCTGAGTTCAGAACTCCCAAAGGAAGATTGCTGCTTAGGCTACAAGGGATGCTGTTGAAATGTTTTAATTATCTGTTGCCATCATGTTGCTGCTACAGTTGTTCTTATATGGCACTTTGTTCATCATCATCTTCACAGATTACCTTGGAGAACAGATGCCTTGCCACAAATGAGTTAGGAGGGAAGGAAAGCAGAGTGGTACTGGCATGTGTCATGTTCCTATCCCACGGAGAAGGAAACATGTTTTGAAATTGTACGTCTGTGCGGTGGCAGAAATACAGATGTGGTGATTCGTACCTCTAATAAGTCCTGTCCTGAAGAATTCTACTAGTGGCAAATGAGAGAGTGCATCTCAGTGCTGAGAGACAGGGACTCCTGAAATAGGATGTGCTGCTTGTCAGGTAAGAGTATTCACAGTTAGAAAAAGGCACTGGGGTTTGACTTTAAAGCACATTGTATTGTAATGTCATACTGCTTCAGGTTCACTTACAGCCTTTGTCTTCAAAACTATTTAAAAATTCCAAAAATTAGAAAGTACCTGGTCTGGAGGCTTTGCTGCAGGTTCGGCCATTTCCAAAAAACCCTATTGGACATCGGCCACAGACATAGCCAACGTAAGGGGGTTTCCTATTGAAACACAGCACTCCAGGAAAGCATGGCCTATTGGCACAGGTGGTAACACGGGGCTGATGTGCTGTGTGGACTAGAAAAAAAAAATGAAAGTTCAAACATGCTTATTTATCATTTCTCAGACAAATTGCATATATACAAGTAAGTATGTCTAAGCCCAGCTAAAGTTTTATAACTGCTTTTATTCTTTTGAAGAGTAATTAATGCAGAATGTTCCCAGACCTTGTGCCAAGCATGAGAATGTCCTGTAGGCACAGTGTAACAGAACAGCTGTTTCTCATTAAAGCAAGATTTATTAGTCTTCTACATATTTACAAGTTTATAACTCAGAGTTGTTAGGCATTTATCATTGATAATATAGAAACTGTAATTTTCAGCGTAAGTGAAAGTTTAACTGAGTAAGAATCTGTTTTTCAGATATCATTCTGGTCTCATATAATTGGAAAGTAATCACCAAATCTTATAGTACATATATACCTTATCTTTAAGAATTCACTGACAAGTACTTATGTTTCTGATCTAGAAATCATCTTCAAAGTGTTGAACCTTGTATAACAAGAGACTATTTTAATTATCCTAGAAATATGTGCTAAATTAAACACTGGTAGTATGTGGTATTTTATCACTTATGATGTCACTGAATGGCACAAATATGAACTCCCTGTGAAGTATTTAATAGTGCCGACAGAGAACAGATGATGAATTAAATCTTAATGATGGTTGTAGATCTTTTATAACGGCCTCCATGAAGTCTCTATCGTGATTCTCAAGCATTTCCAGTGTTGTCATTGCATGTTGCATACAAGAATATCACAGATATGTAGAAAAATCATTTTCTGGTTATGTTTTTGCTAGCCTGGCACAGATGTGCAAAAGAAGGTGAGAAAAAAAGACTATTTTCTCCCACATATGTCCCCACAAAAGAGATATACCAAGTGTAAATTATTCTCTTCCCTGCTCTCGCTAGAAAATCAAGGGAAAATGAAATACTGATTAGAAGTGGGTCTACGTAAGCAATATACACTCTTTTTTGAAAGTGCTGTTGTTCTCTGGGTCCTGCTGTAACAATGACAGTCACAAATATCCTGGGAAAAGCATCTGTTGTAGTCATATTGATTTATGCTCAAAGCTTGGTCTTAATGCAGTGACTGCCAGTCAGATGATGGAATAAAATTCAACATCACTTGTTTACGGCAAGTTGGCATAAGCTGTCATTCTTACCATCTTGTTTTCCATTGATCACTATGATTTGGAGTGATTGTGTTCTGTCTTAAAACTGATGAGGTTGTACTTAAGCCTGACCAGTCTGATTGTTACTGCTCTAAGGGCTCTTTTCCCTTGCAAAATTGTTTAGCGGCAACCTACAGGCTGATGTGCTGAGGAGATTTTAACTCTATCTTTCTGTGATGTATTATAAATAGTTTAAGTTTACTGATAAAATGGTTAAATGCATGATTTCTGAATATGTAAACTGCAATGTAGGCATAGTTTAGTGGACATGGTGGTATGGTTCAGTGGTTGGACTAGGTGATCTTGGTGGTCTTTTCTGGTTTTAATGAGTCTACGAACAGCTGAAAAATATTTTGTATCCTTGTATACCTACCATGATTAGTGCTTATGTTAAAATTCCTAATTACAGGAGAATTATTTGCTTCTAAGGGGTGCAGTGGCCACTCAACTTCAGTTTTGTTCAAATCACCTTTGCCATTGTTGTTGTCAACGATTAAAGCTTTTGTAAAGTCACCAGCAAGCACAGCTGTAAAAAGAAAACATGGAGACGAGGAAACGAGGTGTTAAGGGACTAGCTGTGATTGATGATAAAAAGCAACAGTAACAGCAAATCAGATAGTTTGACATCAGTTTGCTCTGGAAGCTGACCATCAAGCAAATAAAGGCCAATCAGGTGAGTCAGCTGCTGACATTCAGCAAAGCTTCTACATAAATATAGAAAAAATTACAATGTGCAAACTCAATAATCCTTGCTTATCTGAGAGACGTACTTAATATGCACAGTGATCTTTTATTGAGCTAAGGGCAGTAGGAGGGCATCAGGTCTCTGTGCAGTGTGTGGTGTTGGATGAAGACAGTGCACAAATGCCTGGGCCCTGAAGTTTGTTTGATTCCTGCCTCTCCTTGAAAGCTTCTGCCTGAAACTGCATTGTGTGTGTTTGTTGGCTTTAGCTCACTTGCAAACTTTGTGTGTTTCAAAATATCTGTGCTAAGTATATATGAATGTAAAGAGAAAAGCTGATTGCTGGAACCTTTGAAAATATCAATCTACACAAAATTTGAAGAGAATTTCTTGGATGATCTAGGGATGGCCAACACTGCATTTGTTTTAAGTTACACAACTGTTGCCCTGGATTTTCTGTGCTCCTAGCAGAGCCCGAGACTATGAAACTTATATATGTTGAATAATGCAGTGAGCCATGAACTGCTTTAGCAGTTATAAAATTACTTCAGATTTCTCCTTCCTCTGAGAAGCCTTTACCCTTCAGTGAGTAAAGTGTGGGCATGGTAAGCCTGTGTATTAGTAGAAGGTAGGATGATTTCTAGTTACTCTATTTTGCTTGTTCTAACAAATGGGTATTTTAGAAATAAGGAAATATATCTGCAATTAAAAAAATGCATAGGAAGAAGTCATGATTCGGATCTATTTTGAGCATAGTTTTGTATAAATTTCCTTGTTAGTCAGATTACCTAGAAAAATAGAAAATCATGAAACAGGTGCAAAATCACTTTGAAATAATCAGCATGGCTAAACAAGACATAAAAGAAAACATTTCTATACAGGTGTTTGGCAATATGATTGAGGGGATTCTTAGTAAAGCAGACAAAATCAGTTTTTTCTTTTGGCAGTCAATATAAGAGAAAGTTAACATCTGCATCATTTTCTTCTTGGACTTGATTGGAAACCCCAACAACCAAGTGCAGAATACATCAAATGTTGAGTTTTCTTGTCCTTGCTCACCAAATGTCATTATTGGAGAAGACTCACGTGTGTATGTGACTGAAAAAAGCAGAGTTTGGGTATTTTATGTCTCATGCAGTGGAAAGGTCTCAGCATGGTAGAAAGTCACTGTAGCTTCCTGCTCAAGAGTTTGCAGAGAACTGCCTCAGCAATGCATACTGAAAAGGTATTAAATTGTTCCTGCCTTTTTTTTTGCTTGTTGGGATCTGTGGTGTGACCTCATGCCAAACATAAGCTCAGCAGCTGTGAGCTTCGCCCTCTCGTGAAATACACCTCAGAGAGGTGAAATCTGTGAAGGATTTGCACATGGATCTTCTTCCTCTTACCCCACATCCATTCTGCTCAGCATTCACTCAGAACAGAACTAATCCTGAGGTGCTCCCCAGCTACTTGTTAGTAGATGATTTATTTAGGAGAGAAGTAGCGGGGAACCTGGAGAACGTCCTTGGCAAATTATCTGGCTGACATCTGAAAAATACCTTTTTTGTATGCTATGGTGTTCATTCTAATCAAAATGAAACTAAACTGCAGTGAAAAACAGCAAACTGAGACCAATTTGCAATTATCCATATTAATATAAGATGACAGTAGTCTGGTTTGTATATTTAAAAGTCTGTCCTTGAAGTGAATGACAAAGTACTCAATTGAGGATAACAGCAGTAGAAGTGGGCCCATTTTTACCCTTCTATTATAACAAATCATGCTCTTACATTTGCAAGTTTTACCATTTCCCTCCATCCCACTTGGACAAATTCCACACACGTATGATCCAAAGGTGTTCATGCAGGACACTCCTGGAAAACACAGACCTTCTTCACACTCATTCTTGTCTTCCTGACAAGTAAGCCCTGTGGCAAACCAAGAGGAGGTTAATAATCAGGAGATATTCCCTGTTTATTCTTCAGCTTAAATGTTCATTCAGATTGAGGCTTATTTCTCATCTGTGAACTCATTACAGGAGATGTCACTCACGTTAGCATCAATTTCCCCACAATTGGCCTTAAACATATTTTCATCAGACTGTTTAGTACTGTTCTTGTTGGCACCAGGAGTGCTGAACTTGGGACTACAGCTCCTAGAAAGCGGTGCTTATTAAATAAATTATTGCTCTGCCTTTCATGTCTTACCTTCTGTTTTTGTTATCGTGTTTATGTGAGATCTTTGTCATACACCAAAGCAGGCAATGTACCCATTTTGGCTTTAGGATACAAAGAGTCACATACTGACACACCATGCTTTTCATTTCTGTGGGAATGTCACACTATTAATAGCTTATTGTACAACAGCCTGATAGAGTCTGGCTAAAGGTGAATCTGACAAAACGATCAAATTAAAACAAAACAGATTTTTCTATTTAAATTAAAATTTGAAGGAATTGTCTGAAAATGTCTGTGACCTACAGAGCTGGCATTCAGAAGATAAGCTACTGTAGGATCTAAACCCCAAACAGTGGATTGTGGCTATTGATGATTTTGGATGTAAACATCTTAAAATCCCTTGAAGTAATTAATGTTCAGTCACAGCACTGGATGAATGAATGGATACCTGTAGAGGAGGCTGACCCCAAAGCTAAAATGACTATCTGAACATGAAATGATGTGGAGTAATCATGTACAGTGTTGTTTACAGACTCACTTGAGCTTCAGATAAACATGCTGCTGAATACGTGCACTTGAAAAAATTTGATTGGCTGCTGTTGGTCACTGGAACATGTAGCCCAGTCTTGAACTATCCCATAACATCTGTATTAAGGAATGCCCTTTGTTCTTTTCTCCTTGTAGAATACCCAACGAAAGTGGGACACTTTCTGGGGAGTCCCAAGAAAGGGACATTCTGGTGCATAAGGTTCAGAATGCCTTGTTCCTTATTGGATATTCAGGTTGACTAAGATAGAAGCTCCTTTCATTCTTAAAACTTCATTCTTCAAAGCGCAAATTTGTCACAGAAAACTGAACTAAAGAAACAGAACGTTGTTATTCATCTTCTGCAGCATAATCTCTTGTTTTTTCAGTGTTTCAGGTTACACAGCTCTTTTCAAGTTAAAATAGCATCCTCGTGCAAGAAAATTGAAATCTCTCTTGGTTGTGCTGCCTCTGTGAAGCTAGTGGCTTCACCTTCTCATGCCTGCTTTCTCTTGTGGGCAATAAAAAAAATGAACAGCAGGACAAAAGTCATGTCCCTTTTCTGCTGCCATCTGAATAGAGGTTGTTCTACTTGTGCGTGCTTCTTGCTTAGGAAAGCACTCCTTGTTTTATGCATGTTGGACATCACCTAGTGTTACAGGTATTCATTTATTTTTTCTCTTTGGTTAGATTTTGGATTATTGTTTATGCTGTATAATTTAATTAGCACATTGATAGCATCATGCTGTTTCTATCTGATACTGCTGTCTGATGACACATTAGGAAATTATTAGACATCAAATTGTGGGAAATACTGAATGAGTTTTCTTCCAGTTAGATTAGTAATTATTTTCTTTCCTTTAGTATAAAGATGAAACATGATACCAGGGGCAATCAAAGTGGGAATGAAGTTCCCAGTTTGGGTAACAAGATCTGCTTCTCTCTCAATCCCTTTCCTCTTTTCCCTCCTTCCTCCACACTGTTTTGCAAAGGTCTGACTTTAAAATCTCAAAAATGAGAGAATTCCAAAAAGCAAAGGAAAACCATAAATACCAGCCTAAATTTTAAAACCCACCCAACCAACTTAAATGTAGAACTATGCAAGCAGCACTTCATTTCACTAAAAGAGACAGTTTTAAATGCTGTCTGATTAATGTTGGCATAATGTTAATGCAGCAGTATCTGAGGAGAAGTTCAAGTTTGGAAAGTCTTAAACTTTGCTGAAGGTTGCTGGAGAGGCAGTAGAATTTGATAGAAAATTGTCTTCAACAAGAAATGTCAGTTACTGTGCTTGCGTGACCTCCAGTGTGCTGCAACACAAGGGAGTCCCAGTTCTATTGACACTGCTACCGCACAAATGAAAATATTAGGAATAAAAGATCTTCAGGTTGCAACGTTGAAACATCTGTTTCCTTGCCAGCTCTATTTCTCTGTCCCCGCATGAGAAATTGGCTGAGATCAACTCCTTTCATGCCTTGAGAGAAGCTGACCACCTACAGATGTAGAGAAGGACTTTTTGATAGTGTTCAAGTTAAGCTGAATCTAAATGAAGAGGAAATCTCATTGAGAGACTGTAAGGTTTTATTATAAACTGTGAACAATTTTTTTTTCCCCAGTTTCCTTCTCTTCCTCTCTGCCCCCATATTAATGAACGGATACATAGGAAAAGAAAGGATGGTTTTATGATTTAGACACAGTTTTTTCAAGGAGGTGTTCTGTTCTCAAGAAGATAAGACTCTTGCTTTCAGTGACCGAAAGAAGAAACAATGGGAATTCTTGTTAACACTGGTGCAGGAGAATGAACGAGCTCTGAACGCATAATGAGATAAGCATGTGTTAACCTCTGCAGAAATTGGAAATATTAATAATTCTGGAGTCATCATCCTCTCACATTTTCCTATGGCTCTCCCTGCCTTGTTCCTATTTTTGCGTTGTGCACTTAGACTGCCAGAGATACACAGATGCACCTGAATTGCTACCATTCAGCAAAACACTTTGTTCTTTATCCTTCTTCTCTTGCAGTGGTGTTTTGGAAGCTCTCAAAAGAGTTAACATTTTGTTTCTACTACCTGTTCCCTATCATTTGTAAAGATTTGATGGTGAAATGATGCTGTCACTTGAGCAGTATAGCATTGCCTTCTCATTAGATTATTGATGGTTTTCTGGGGAGCTGAGACATAAACACAGCATCAAGGATGAGATTTTATTGTTGTCACAGAACCTGCCCTGAAGTAAAATCATCTCCTTCCCAGCTGGCTTTCAGCTCCGTTTGCTTATAATTTCTCACCTGCTATTAAAATTTTGAGATGTATTTCTGTTTCGCTCAATCATATTTTTATTTTGCTGTTGATTCTGTTTTAGCTTTTGGGCCGGGGAGGTACAGGAAAAGCACTTCATATTTATCTAAACTGACAGGGCTTAAGGATTCAGGAAAACAGTGTTTTTCTGGCCATTAAGGTGTCCCTTGTCCTTATTTTCAGAGCTGGATGTATGCTGCTTTCAAGCACGTTATTCTAAAGTGCTGGATATTTCATTCTTGAATGTTTGCGTAAGGATAAGAACCACATTTTAGAATATACACCATATGAGTTTATAAATAAAGCATTATAATTATGGCAAACTATTTTATGTGGAATAATACATTTCATTCCATCTATGTTCAGGAGCGAGAAACTGGTGAAGGTCAGTGAACAGGAGCAGACACACTGATGTTATTAACTCGTTGAATTGTTTTTTATCCATTAATCTACCTCCTTGAAGGCAGTGAGGAATCTTCTCAACAGGGTATTTAAAGTATTTAACCAAATCCAGCTGAAGATATTCCAAAATTTCCCTGGGGAAATTATTTCCAGAGGAATTGAAGACTATACCACTCTAAATGTGTTGATTTTTGTTTGAAGTTTTGATTGAAATTTCATTTTCTATCATTCTTCTCTATGCATAAGCTTGTGCATAGCTCTCTCAGTAGTATTTTGTGGCATAAACACTTTCGATAGATCTTGGCTGTACTGTCCCATTACCTGGAGTCATTATAATGAAACTTTTTGGCCACTTTTATGAGCTCACAAGTCTGAATTGCTTTTGTTTCATCTCTATTGGAATCTTATATGTAATGAAGTCTGAACTTTCAATCCTACATGACTAAAACAGAGAAGGCATGATGAACTCCTGAAGGAGAGAAAGGATGCCTTCCTGCCTCCATGAGCCCACTGAGGATAATCCGTTCATGGTTTTTGTATGTAGATACCATATGCAGTAACAGTTAAGTGCTTTTGATGTTACTTCTTCTTGAAATTTTCAAAGATATAGCACTGTACTGCAATCAGTATTTTGGGTGTCATTAATTCATTCATGCTTTCATATGTGACCAGAGCAGTTATTCTTTTACAAAGATTTCAAGCACTGAAATCTGAGTTCAGCTTAAGATGTTGTTTTTTTTTTTTTCTCCTTCCTTTTTCAGATGGTTCTGGCCCAAATGGTATCTTAAAACCGTTTCTGTTAGTACTCTTCCTTTACTGCTGGGAGGCTGGTTTGACTCTGACATGAATGAATAGTAAGGCAAAGCCTTCCCTTTCCAATGACTAATCAAACTAATGACTACTGTGCAAGTGGCTGCTCTTTTAAATGGCACTGATGCTAGTAGCAAAGCTAAAAAAAGGCCACGTTTAGAAATCCTGTATGTTTAGATTTGCTTTCTGCCCCCTGAAAGGATAAACTGCAAACAAAAAGACTGCAGCTTCAGTGAGGCTCCAGAAGGCATATTTGGGCTGATGTGAAAGCTTGTTGTGTTGGCAGCAAGCTGTGATACCAGCAGCTGGAGTGTGGGTCCTGGTGTGGAGGAGGTGCAGGGCTCTGTATGACAACTGGCAGCAGCTCCACACAGCCCAGCACAGCTCCAAGCTGCTCTCGCCTCTGTGATCTATGAGATGCTGCTCTCTCACCTGACGCTTCAGGTTCTCACTCCCTCTGTTTCTGTATGCACTGTATGTCTTGCAGCCACCTCTTCTGTCTTCACTGCAGTTCCTTCTATTTCTCCACTTCGTGCTTTATATTCTGCATTTCTGAAAGGAACTTTCTGGGGGCAATGATCATTCCTCTTGCCTGTATCCCTTAAAATCATATTGTGGTCAGCCCTGAACAGCTTAAAAGCTTAGACTTTGCTCCATCAGTATGTCTGACAGCACAATGGGCTTGTGGTTCTCTAAGGCTTAAACTTCTTCCTTCGGCTCATCTCGCATGTGGATAGCTGGGAAATGAGCTGGGGGAAGCTGAGATATAGTGGTTGACCACTCTATCATGGTCATTTCAGGCTGCGGACCTCTAGGTCTTTTTCCTCCCTTGAGCATGGATAATTAGATTGCTGCTTTTACATGTTATCTGTCAAAAGCTAAGTCAGAAGAGGAATCTAATGTTGACCATTTGACATATTCCTGTGGTTCCACTGCAGTCAAAATTTCCTGAAATGCAATCTGTCTCTAGTTAGAGCTGGAAGAAAGGATGTCTTACCTCCTAAACCAGGGGGACATTGACAAGCATAGCTGTCCACACCATCCACACAAGTTCCGCTTTTGCACGGGTTTGATTTGCACTCATTAATATCTTCCTGGCAAAGCCCTCCATCAAATCCATTTGGACATAAACACAGATATTCACCAAGGCCCGGGGGGAATTTAATATTGGTAACACACGTTCCGCCATTGAGACAGCTGCAGGGCTTCACTCGAACCTGAGGAACGCAAAAGAGAGTTGTGATAAGATTCCTCTGAATAATCACTGCTGAGAGGTATATTGGTACCTGTCAGGAGGGGCCAGATTTGCAGTGCAAGCACGTTGTCTAGTATTATGAATACTTATTTCTAACCAATTTCCTTTGTCTAGATAGACGGCCTCATACTCAGCATACTTATTTATCTGACTGGAATCTTGGCTTTAGAGGGATTTTTTTCTTCATCACTTAGGGGCACATTCTAACTTCTTCTGAGAAAGAAGCCCTATTTGCTATAACAGCAGTTTCTACATGGTGTCTGAGGGCAAGATTTGTTCCTCATTCTTCAAAGAAATGAAAAATCTCTTCTCTTTGCCTGCCTGTGTACCATCCTTACTGCTTTACATTATAAATGGCTCCCAGTCAGGATGAGGATTGTGGCATTCTTCACCCAGTTTCTCTCTCAAGGAATAGAGATCCATAATCATGTTACATATGGATGAGAAAGGGATTTCAACAGATTCAAACCTCTGTACTCTCCCATCTTGTTAAATGCAGATCTAGTTTGAAGCGTTTCCCCTTTGCTGCCTGTGTTCAGCAGCTCGGTATTTTTGATGCGAGTGGTTTGAATGAGCAGAAATTAGAGTCTTTAGGACTTAAAAGGAAATATCCTTTTCTTCACAAAATTGTTCTTGTGCCAGGGTTCTGCATCCCACTTTATTAGCTCATCCTATCATGGGATTAATGTTAGGCTATGCAATAAAGTCATGCACGAGCTCTGCCAAGAAACTTAAAGTGTGGAGTAATGACATAAGAGCAAGACACCCTCTAAAGATATCATTGAGAATGAGTTATAATCTTCCTTTTATAGCTAAAGCTGGGTCTTTTATGTTATATACTTCTTTTTTTTTTCTATGATCCAAATGCAGAATGTGAATTTTAAAGCAGATTAATGAACCATTAACAGGCTCTAGAAGAGAGTTCTTTCAAACAGCAATCAATAGCACTCTCTCTTGTTCATTGTATGTATAGTTTCTACGTTCTCAGAGATATTTATTCCATTAATTGATCATTATTGCTATGCTGCATAATATAAGGGTTTATGAGGAAATAGCTGAGGTCTTTTTATTTTTAGAGAGTAACAAACTATTGGTTATAATGACAACTGTGCCAAAATGAGAACATGATAAACAGGTATGTTGTCCTTTTCTTTAAAGCATTTTTTTCTTACCTCAACAGCGTATCTGCTCTGCGCGTTGCATTCATCCGACACAGTGAATTCAAAGGTCTGCATTTCTTCTGAATCAACTTTCCAGATAAGAAGGCCAGCGGGAGAGAGCCTGGCATCCTGTGGCCCAGCCTCTAAGATGAATAGCACAGCTGACCCTTCCGGATCCACCGCTGTTAACTGGTAAACAAAATTCTCACCAATAAATGTCAGCAGCTGGCTGGAGGGGGCCTGGAACACAGGAGGCAGGTTGTCTAAACAGCAAAAATGAAACCATGATTACATAAATTCTTGTTTCTACCGTGTAAAGATTCACAGCACAGGTCTTCGTAGGGGTTCTCTCAGTGATGAAAGTATCCTGAGACTGGTGGAGGAAACAATTTAGATGTTAGAGGCAGCAAATGGCTTTACCAAACACGCACTTCTTTACTCCTCTTTTTCTCATGTTCCGTACTGATTATCATTGATGTGTATCAGATACATGGGAGGAGTCTGGGCATATCTTTTGTAACCTCTTACTGCTTCGTGTCCCCTAGTTCTTAGTGAAACTTTAACTGTATCTCTAATGTATGTATGCTGATCTACCCTACCCTACCCTACTCTACCCTGTTCTGTTTAAATGTAAGTAAGCCAATTCTCAAAATGATGCATGACAAATTGACTGGGCAACTTTTGCTGGCAAAAGTTGTGAAATTCTTCCATTGAGTAGATTCTGCTCTCTTTACACGTGAGTGGTAATTGAGCCTCAGCAGTTTAATTGAATTCAGTTGGACATTTCTGGAATAAAGATCTTCTCAGTGCCAGGAGATGTACATCTGTGATACTGAAATTCTCTATCCCCAGAGACAGGAGTGCATATCAACATTGGTCTTGTTATTTTTAGTGTTGTTTTCAGTGTTGTTTACATTCAGTATTTCCTTAATGATGATAAAAGCCTAATTATACTGAGCTATTGTATAGTAATAGACAAATGCTGCCTGAAGGTATTTACAATAAAAAGATGCGAGCAAGGCAAGGTGGAGAAAAGCATTACATTTTAATATTAGAAACCAAGGAAAAGTAAGATCAAATGAATACCTTCAGGTGACAGCAGCACTATGCAGGGCTGGAAATTTCATCTCAGTGTCAGAAGCCTTCTCGATCTCCAGCCTCTTTCCTCCGTAACCAGCAGTACAAATTGATATATACCGATATTTAAAGGAATCTTCTCACAATGCAACTTGTAATTTTTAACTTAGAGAATATTTATGATAATTTAAAGTCACAATCTAAAATTTGACCCGTATATTTGTTCCCATAAAGACAACCTGTGTCTTTGCATCATTTCTTTTGTGTGTGCATATCCTTCTATCACGCTTTGCTTTCCATAGCATGCCTCACATTATGCAGCTATTTAAATGCCTCTGCATTTACTCATTGCTGCTGTGCTATCAAAGCTTTCTAAGCTGCTTCTCCAGCAGGTTGTCCTGGCAAAACTGTTGAAATCTTCCATCTATTAATTTAACTTCTGCTTCACAAACAATCAAGACGTGGAGCCCATAAAAGTTGTGCCCAAAGTAATCAATGAAATATTGATGATGGTGTGCTTTTAAAGATAAACATAAAGATGGTGTTTACTGGATGGAGGGTAAAAGGTGTTATACACACAAAAGAACATAAAGCCAGATCTTATGTGGCAACAAATGATCTGGAGGTGTTAGTTGAGAGCTGGCTGAACATGAGTCAGCAGTGTGCCCAGGTGGCCAAGAAGACCAGTGCCATTCTTAGCATTCAAGAAGTGCTTGAATGTTTGAAAGGCAGCTTTCCCCATGACCCCTGCTATGAAGGGCTGCACAATGAGCTGCTTGGTTTCCCTATCACTTAGAGTCTGGGCCATTCCATGGTCTTTCGTGTGGCAATTGACAGTATTTGGCTCAGACCAAAAATATACATTAGTGTTTTGAAAGCAGTGTTTTCCTCAAACTGTTCCCTTAAAGATTTGTACCTGTGAGACTATCACTGATGTTTTTAGGGTCCATCACCTTTTGCTGACAGATATGGGCCCTGCATGTGTTATCAGCGTATGAAAAACTTCTTTATAAGCCATTATTTTGATTTTAATAATTAAAGATTTGTCAGGTTTCAGCCAGAACAAGAGGAGAAGCCAAATGCATAGTACACATAGTGGAGTACTTTGTGTGTCTGTTCAGTCCCTATTTGTTGTGCACCCAATTATTCCCACTGTAAACAGTCCACAAGCACTATGCAGAATAGATCCATATCAACAAATGGAGAAACTGCATTTCATAAACTGAGTACTAAATTCCCAGCTAAGAGCTTCTAAATCTTAGGAAAAGCTGTCTTACTTTCATTAATAGACCAGGTGAACTTAGAGATATCAGGTTCACAGAGAAGACAAGGACTGGCAGGGTTTGACTCTCCTTCCCCATAGCAAAGTCCATCTATATTACAAGTATTGTCCTGTCAAAAAAGAAAATAAAAATGGGTGGGAGGTGAATGCAAGGAAAAAAAAAAAAAAAAAGAAGAAAGAAGGAAAGTTAAGAAATTAGCAGTTCATATATTTTAGAGATAAGCAGAATCTTGCTTGTCTCTTGAAACAATAAATTGATATCAATTTATATGGTGACAGGGAGAAAGAATGATGTGGAGATCATTCAGTTTCCACATAAGATCCCTGTAGCTTTGAATCCTTTACCACAGGTAACATGTAATGCTGATTGTCATAGATGAATTTGAGCATGATTCTATTTTCATTTTAACAGTATGTAGCGGATGTGATTGTTATTCCCAGCTGTGACTACTGATGTGGTGACTATTTAGTAGCTCTCAGATGTGAGTTATGTGAAATCTCATGTAGGTGTTCTAGAATCATGTAGATGTGGTACTAAGGGACATGGGTTAGTGGGCAGTATTGGTGGTGACGTAGTACCACTTCAAGTGCAATAGGTAAAATACCCACAAAACCCAGACCTAAAAGGACTCTCATAATTTTCCCAATGTGATACAACATGACAGATCTCCAATGTTAAAATTTGGATGTGAATTAGATTTTATTACATCGTTGCTTTCAAAGGCTTGAAGTTCTGATGAAAAAGCTGCTGTTTTTCTGATGTGGTAATGTGGTAGAGAATAGGCTCCATAAAAGAGGAACAGAGCATGCAAACTGGCCTGGTATAAAATGTCCCTTAATTGAAACACCTTTTCTGAAAGCAATTTAGGTATTACAAAGTGGTGTTATAAGAGGAGTAATTAGAAAGTGGTTTGATGCAATTGGAAGCCTAGTTCAAATAATCCCTTGAAGCATCTCAGGCTAGAAATTATTATGACACCAAGAGAAAACCAGCATATTGAGATGGCATGTATATTATTTCTGAGTTCCAAAAATGTAAGAATAGGGAAAGCCCTTGCTGTAAAAATAACAACAAATAGTTTTAATCGACGTGGTTATGACATAATTATTTTTATTCTTAAATTGAAATAGCTTTGCCCTCATTTGGGTTTATAAACCAGTTTCTACTTACTTAGAAATATGTGATCTTCCATTTTATTTTGGTAACTGATGCTTTATTGCAATCAGAGCAACTTTGAGAACTGTGTTTTCCCATTAGTGTTAATGAGAACAGCCAGGCAAATAGGTTACAATGTACCTGATTAATCTTCATTTTAAAAGAATGAAGACTGGTGGTCTCCAGTTCACTTGTACTTGCCTCAGGGTAGGAAAGCAGGATTAGCACATTCAAATATTCTTATCAGCACCCTCCAAAAGTATCTTTTAAAGCCCCATTGAAAAAGAGAAAACGTGTCTAATGCAGTCCTATAGAAAATGAGAGCAGGCAATCTCTTTTTCAAGGGATGAAGGATGTTACACTGGAAAGTTCACAGGAAAACAAAAGGATATAGTGCTCTCCTGAGAGTTCCCAGTGCGCTGGCAGTTTTAAACATAGCACTAGGCTTTTGATTATGGTTTTGAAGCTGTCAAAGCACTATATGTTTGTACTTAGTGTTATTTAATGTAAGCAAGAATGTTTTATGTTCTCTCGAGGGTGTTTTCTCATGACAAAGACTGCGTAACATACGTCATAGTATATCTCTTGAGACAGCAGAAAATGGGAGTAGAAGTGAATACCTTATAGCTGCATTACCCCATCCAACTAGCCTGGGAGAGCTAACTGAGCTTCCTAGGAAAGATAATTCAACAGCGGAGACAAGCTTCATGGCAGGGCAGCCACAGCCCAGCCTTATTTATTTGCACTGACATCCACACATATACCTGTTCTCTGCCATGCTCTTTGAGAAGCACCCTTCTGAGAAAGGTCCAATATAAAAAGTGCATATAGATACATAATATATATATATATATATATATATATATATATATATACATAAACACTCACAGACAGGAGATTATGAAAGACAGAAAAGTATCAGGCTGTTCTGCTGAACTATGAAACAGGTTTTCCTCTTCTAAAACAGTTATTGCACACAGTGCATCAGAGGGAGAGAGAGGGCTGGGGAGGAGATGAATGATCCATATTAAACATTTATGCTCTTTAAATTACCTTTAATTTACAAAGTCCAGTTGGATGGGATTCGCAGGCCTGGCAGACTGCGTCGTACAGGGTCAGCACTCTGGAATTACTGTACTGGAAGCCATCATCAGTGATCTAAATGATACAAAAATCATCCTTATAAGTAATAATGTTCCATATGGAGACTGTCTGCTCGTTTTGGAGCATATACTGTTGCACCCTTGAACTGGATGCCTGCCAGTAAGACAAATTAAAGCACTTGTGAGTCACTCTACTGCAAGCTAACAAATTGCTTAATGTTCCAAAGTGGAAACTATTCATTAATAACTAAAAGATCTTTTGGCTCAGCTGGCATTCAACTTTTCTGGTTGCCGTTAGGTGCTTCTTTTGTTAGTTTGTTTTTGGTTTTTTATTTGTTCAGTATGCTTGTGGAGACTGCGCAGGGACTTGAGTACTATAAGGATGGATTTCAGGAAGGTGTGAAATGAAAGTAAGATATTTGGCTGAACTTCTGGATTGCTTTCTTACAATATGGTAAATCAGTTAGTAATAATCCTAAGAAGAAAAAAAAGGAAAGGATGCTTTATATTAACCTCTAAAAAGTGCTAGGGTGGATAATATCAGACAGCAATGGTCCTATTTCCATAGGAAGGTGTATTAGAAGGGCACCCCTGTACATGTAGGCTCTTTAGAAAGCCTTAATTTAGGATGGCAGTTTTAATATATGACTACTTACAGAATAAAAAGGGTTATGTGAGTTTACGTTTAAATTTAACTTTTTTTTCCTAATAGAATTGAGAATATACCAGATTAGTGTGGAAATCCCAAATGTAAAAACACTTTTTGAAGAAGTAAAGTACCAGTACTTATCTAGAGGTTGGCAACCCTGCCTACACCAGGGGGGTTGAAACTTGGTGATCCTTGAGTTCCCTTCCAACCCAAATTATTCTATGATTCTAAAGAGCTTATCTTCCTCACTGTGAGAAGAACAAACAAAAGAGGCAGCACTCTAGGCCTCTCTCTTCTCTGAACTGCAATGCTTACTGGCAGCAGAACATCCATTAAGAATATATTATTCTTAATGCATTTTACATTCCATTTCTCTCTTTACCCAGAGCGTCCAGTGTTGTTTCAGTATTAGTGCACTAATAATGGGTGAAATGAGTAGACAGGGAAAAATATAAAAAGCTATAAAATAGACTTAATTTTTATGTCTGAAGTGAGCATTGTGAATGGAAGGTAACTGTTTCCATTTCTTTTGAAATCTGTATTTTTTCCACAGATTATTATAAACTTCCATTTTGATGCCTTTTTAGAATTGGGTCCTTTTATAGTTGTTTCAGTTGATTTTCCATTAGTCGCCTTAGTGATGTGAAACAAAGTCCAAAAGCAGTGATGAGAACTGAGCTGGGGCAAATCTCTATTCAGATTGGGTTGACCCTTAGACACCAAAAGCTTGCTGAGAGCTCTGTCTTGCCTGTTTGAATGCTCGTGTCCCCTGGAAAGGGAGAGCTGCTGCTTCTGGACCAGCAGTGAGGACAGGGAGGAGGTCTTTCCTTCTACCCACAGTGCATTTCATGCACCATGAAGCTATCTTGGCTGCTTGTGTCGCTCATCACTGAGGTACAATTTGATTCATATGAATGTTTTATAAACGAGAAATAAAAGCTGTGAGAACTTGCTGAATTCAAATTCAGCTTCTGCCTCACTGACTTGTAAGCAAATATATTTTTCCTGCTCTTGACAAATACAGACAATGATAACAAATTGAAGATAACCACAGAACTGCTTCCCAAATTAGGTAAGTGCCTGCCAGGCTCTCCCATCCCTTCACCCAAGTGTCTGTATGGACAGCCTGTGTCAACTGCTGCCCAAGTGGGAGTTGTGTTTTGATATTCAAACCAATTATCCCATGAGCTTTGGTGTAACACGTGTATTCTTAATCAACATGCATCACGATGCCATGGAATGAACAAGTAAAATATGAAGCATGAATACATAAAATAGCACTGAAAAGAGCTTGGGAAGCTCTTGTTCCCTCAACATTGGTAATGAAAAAAACTTACGTAAAACTTTGCTGATTCTCTTGAAATTTGCTTTGAGTCTGGGGAGAGATTCTGAGAATATTGAATGTTGTTTTTTTTTTTAATAGAAATATTTATTTTGATTTTGGGAAAAAACTTTTTCCTGCATTTGAGAAAGTATCTATTAATATAAACATGAAGTTCAACACTGAAGTAAGTCATACCAGGAATTTTCTGGAGTGCAAATTTTTGAACGCTTGTGGAACTCATTTCAAACCCTTTTTTTAATCTTGAAATCATTTTGTTCTCTGTGCTGTCACATACAGCTCACTGCTTTTGAAACCAAGCTCTGACTTCTGCCTTCACAATTCATTCAGCAAAAAAATCCACAGGAGGACTGGGATTAGCATGCCAGAATGGGACCAAGGGGATTTAATTGTGCACACATTGCCCAGCCACAGAGCTGGTTCTGCTGCAGCGTTCAGAGGTGAGAGGAAAGGCAGCAGGCTCCCAAGCATGGAGATCTCTTTGAACTCAAGTGCAAGGAAAAAGGCTTTCTACCTATGTTTTGGAAGGAAAAAAAGTAAGAAAAATGACACAGACCTTGTCATGGCTGGAAGGCAGCTCCTGAAAGCAAACTGAGTCGTAATGCAATCTGGCTGTATGCCACCTATCCTGGTTGCACTGGAGAAAGGGCTGGTGGGTGGGCTCTGCTTTCACAGAAATTTTGCACCAAAATGTCTTATTTTTACATGTGGCAGTGTTCAGAACACATCTGCGGTCTTTCTTCCACTGCAAAATATTTTTCTCAGTGATGGGGCATTTAAATGAATTCAGTCTTAGCAAAGGAACTTATCTGCTGAAATTACCAGCCAGGCTGAACACTAGATCAAAGGGAGCAGGTACAAGGTCAGCCAGACACCAATTTCCTAGAAATATTTAGAATTTAAGTGTCACAAAAGGGGCTAAAACTACAGCAGAGCTGACTCAGCTCGTGCAGGCACTGCACGCATAGTCATCCAAGACCAGATGGTGCCATGTCTGCCTTGAAACCAGGGGTCAGAACCACTTTGCACTCACTTCCTAATCATGAGTTTAAGCTGGAGTTTCCAGAAATGAAATACTAATGATTAACAATTGATTAGTCCAGCTGCATCAATCTCAGGTGATTACCTGGAGAAGTGATTGCAATTTGTGCTTTTGGATTGCCGACAAAGACACCTGTTTTTAGTTCCCATCGTTTTCGTTGTGTTTTTTCCCCCATCTCCATGACATTAATGCGAGGCATCTCCTATTCCGAAGGGATGCACATGCACTTTGCTTTTTAATTTACCATGACAACTGATTTTCTTCTTCTAAATCATGTTTTAGAAACATAAGAAGAAATTCCTACTTTTACTTGCCATCTTGCGAACGGCTCATCGCCAGCTACAAAGTGCACAGCCTCCGTCTCTGCAATGTTCAGGAGAGGAATCTGGCAGTCAACAGCCTTAGAGCTGAGAAAATCTGCTTGTGTGGTTTCTTGCTCTCTTGATATCCATTCGCCGTTGAGATGCTACAGTTAAACAGAAGGAGAGTGCAGAAACTGAGGGCTCATACAAAGAAGTTCCAGTTGTCAACATATGCTTATATTTCTAATTAATAAGAGAAGGCGTTTACAGATGGTTTATTAAAAGAGGTGATGTTGTTACTATAACCACAGCAAAGAGCCATCCATGCTGCTCTGTGCATGCAAGCGGCCTGTTGCTTTAGGAAGTAATTTTGGATGAGCAGCTAGGATGAGCATGGGGAGGTGGTGGAGCAACACTGTGGCTGCTCCTAGAGCTCTGCAGCTTGAGTACCTTCTGACACCTTCAGGTAATGTTTGCTGCTGATCTAGACTGACTGCATCAAATGTCACTACTTGCTCAGGGCATGTGATATTGCAAGTGAGCAAGGTATGCTAATCTCAGATGTGTCTTGTTAAGAATGAAAGGGAATCAGGCTGAACATCTTTTTATGAGGTAGGTTTATGAGATGAATCCACATCTCTTGTCTGTGCATGCAGCTGTACCAAATAATTCAGTCCTAGCATTGCCCTTGTATAGTTGTTCATAATAAAATTATAGTGTTAGCAGAAGAGATGGGTTTAATAGTCATTAGAACTTGTGACTTGGTATTGAACTATTGGAGCTTATAACTGTGTGGAGGAAGCCTTGTGTTTAACTGCAACACTTAGCATTCAAGCAAGTTTAAGAAAACAACTGAGCATATGCATTGCAGATGTACGAAATGAGAAATAATATTTGTGATTTTGGGCTTCACTGGACTGCAGTGTAGCTGAACCAAACAAGGGTTAAACAAAACCCCACAGAACAAAGTTGGCAAAATGTAGCTTTGCATTTCCGAGGAATCAGGAAAGGGCTGTGTTTCTTCAGCTCCCCCCACTCATAGCAAACACATTGGCAATGGGATCTGCACCCACTGTGGCAGTGGGAAGGCACTCTGTACTGCTCAGGGTTGAAGAGTTTAATATGAACATGCTGCCGCATGACTGTATCATCAATACTTGATGAACCCATGGGAAGCTGCTTACAATTAATCTGGTGACTTCACAGTGCAGATGGGGAGAATCCTTGAAGCCAACGCCAAACACTCGGACACGACTGCAGTCAGAGGTGCGAATGTCACATAGGCCCCTGTTCTCCAAGCTTGTGATTTCCAGAGTTTGCTCTGAAATGACAGAATGTTTTAGACAGTAGCACATGCTGTTCATCTCTGGTTTATCAGAGGTTTTGTGGTTGTTTTTATGGTGTTGCTTTGGCTAACCCTGTTAAGGCGTTGACTGGGAGGATGGTATTTATGGCATGGTGTGCAGAAGCATCAAGGTGGGAAGTGGAGATATCTGAAGATGACTGAGCCACCAGACTCCTCATAAGATGAAACGGCTGTGTAAAAGGCATTCTTTTTCATTTAAGAAGCTGTGGGTATAATAAAAATAATGGTCCTCAAAGGAATGCTTGCTTTGAGGGTTAAGTCTTTAATGGGTGAAACTCAGATCTGCGCAGTGTCAGTACAAGTATCATGTACCGCATAAGTTCCCCTTAAATCCTATTTTGAGTCCTTAAATAGGGTTCAAGTGATGTACAAGTCCTGTCCCCCTTCTGAGATTGATTTTCACCCATTACTGTTCTTAAAATGTTTTATGATTGTCAGATAAAGTTTCACTTGTATGCTGTTACACTTCAGGTGTTCATCATTTAAAGTTGCTCTTTGCCTTCATACTGGAGTTACTTTACAGAGTCAAAATGAAAGGTCATTGTGTAGCAAAATTCACATCTGTATGTCAGCCAAAGTTTAATTGGGCAGATGTTCTGCATAGGCTCTGGGATAGTACAGCATTAGGGAGGTCTCTGACACCTTGTCAATATCAGCAGTCTGTCAGGACCATGGCCTCATGTATTCCTTGATAACATTTGTAGTTCTCATGGTCAGGAGAAGCCGTTACGATGACAAACAGTATAAAACAGAAGACTTGCTTCTTGTTTCCCATACAATATTTAACAGCAGGAGTATGACTGGGAGCCCTGGGAGGCACGGCACACTCCTGCATGGTGTACCATGAACTATTTGCCTCCTGCATGGCAGGAAGAGGCCACAGAGCTTTTCTGGTTCCCTGCTCCATCACCATTGCTCTGGCAAAACAATATTGCCTATCAGTCTTCTCTGAGCTGTAGCTTATTTAAAACATAAGCTTAATGTTTTAATGGTACATTGGCTTAGTTCTGATTCAAGGGGCAAAATGCCCTTAGCTGAGCTGATAACCTTCCCCATACCTCTCTATTTAGGGCTCTGCCATTCACGCTGTAAGTAGGATGAATGCTGTTTAAACATTGCCAGATTGCAGCCCATAACAATATAGCTGCATGACTCTCATTTTTTTCAGAGAAAGGAAAGGAAGCAATATAAACATGAGAAGTAGTGAGATTTTTTTTCTGTACTTCTAAAATGCTTCTAGGTTTTTGTTTTTTTTTTTTGTTTGTGTGTTAGGTTTTTGTTTTTTTTTTTAGAGATTTTATTGCAGCAGTATTAGTAGCACTGTTGGACACTTTACAATATTTACAAGAAAAGAAATAGTTTACAGCTCACCAGCGTTCATGTTAGTTGTGAATTCCTGCAATGTGCAAAAATATTAATCAGATGGATAGAAAGGTTTTGATAAATTGCTTTCTTACGTGGTTAGTGCATAAAAAAATAATTAAAAAAGAAAGGTTCATTACTTTTTTCATGAGATTTTAATGTTTTCCCCTACTAGTACTGAAGTAGCTCAGATTGCATTAACATTTTCATTACCATTGCAGTTTTTCAGGCTTCTGTGGGTGAAGTAAAACCCTGTAACTTGGGAACGGGTGAGGCACAGGAATGTGCTCCAGCAGCCCTTCCTTCTCCAGGGCCAGGCTTTCAGGCTGGTTTCTTGCTGACGAGCTCTGCATGCTTTTGAGAGGGTTCCTTACATCTCTATGAGCATCCTGGCATTGCTGTGTTGGGGCCAAGACAAAATGACCCAGCCTCAGTGGTTTTTGAAATGACTTTGGAATAAGCTGCCCAGAGAGCTGGTGGTGTCACCAGAGGTGTTCAGGAAACGTGGAGGTGTGGCACTGAGGGACATGATTAGTGATCGTGGTGTGGGATATGGGAGGGGGTTGATGTATGGACTAAATAATCTCAGTGGTCTTTTCTGACCTTCATGATTCCATGATTCTATGACTTACAATATAAATAGAGAATTTAATATTTCTTTCACTCAAACCGTTGCATTTGCACTTGTGTGCAGCATCTTTAAGTTGGTCTAAATCTGGAGGAAATATGTTCCAATATATGTGGTGGGTACCTTCTCCCAAGAAGTGTGGGCTGCTGTGGGCTAATCAGGATGAAAAGGAGATTTCTTTGCTGGTGGAAGGGGTGACATGTTGATGTAAGAAGAATGCACTATGTGTTTGTGCAGTTTGATGAAAGTGGGAAGGAAGGAAGGGACTGATCTTTTGCCTGAGTGGGCTTTTTTCTGTTCCAGCATGATGGTGGAGGAGGCTGCATTGAAACTATTTCTCTATTCTGGCCAGCTGAAGATGTAGTGCTGATGAGGTGTTGGAGTCCTCTGGGTTTTTTGCAGGGAGTGCTGGGAGGAGATGGAGAAAGTCTGATGGAAATTTTATGACTCATTTTTAAACAAATGGATACTACTGCTCAGGCTTTAGACCTCAGTATGTGCAGCACATCACTTTAAAAAATGTTAATTACTTTTAATGTAGTACTTTTTGAAAATGAGACATCACGCTAAATGGGTGTAGGAATTTTAGGCATTTACTTTGAACATAATTTTCAATCTGTATCCCTCTGTCTTCCATTTTTTGCATATGTGAACCAATTTCAACTGAATGTGGAAGAGGAAATCAATGATGTTATCTCTGGAGAAGTCTCCTGGCAGTCAGTAATTGTATGGTACCCACCCATATCCTTGATGGGGAAAACTCAAGTAAGGCTGTTGCTCTTTGCTTCTGGTGTTAGTGAAGGGGAAATTAATGAGCCTGTGTATGACAAATGCTTGAGGACCACAGAGTTTCGTATGTGATAAGGAAATTAAATTAGGGAGCCTGAAAACTCCCAGTAAAAGAGCTATCATTAGTTCAGCAGAAAATTGGTGGGGGGTGAAGGCGAAAGTGGGGAGAGCTGGGGAAGCTTGCAGAGATGAGAGTAAGGGCAAAAGTTTAGGTACTCACAGAAACAGGAGGTCATGGAGATATGACAACCAACGTGTGATTTCCGTGCTGGGGCAAGCTAAAGAGGGAGGGGACAGTCCAACTCCTGAAGAGGGCTTTGCTTCATGTTACTTCTAAGAGCCCCCCAGGATCTTGGGTAATTAGATAGAAGCATGGATTGAATTTCACTTGATTGGTGATGTTTGCTTTGTGCAAAGCAACAAGCCAGCCTCATCCCATTGCTTCACCCACAGAAGGAATGTACTGGAAAGAGCAGCAAGCTCAGAGCTGCTGATGGTATATGCTCTTTCTGCAGGCACTTACATGAGTCAGACGAGGCACACAGGCTACGTAATAGATGTAAAAAAAACCTGCATAAATACCCAATTGGTTTTATAGGTATTTGCTGTGGTGTATTATATAAATGTGCATAGATATTGGAGTAAAATGTAGACATTTGACACAAAATCAAGAATTTTGTAAAACTGCACTTACTGAAATTTCAGTGATGGACAGGTATAGTTCATGTTTCATTTCTGCCTTTGATTAGAAATATATCCTAGCACAAATAAACATCCTTCTGCAGTGTTTGAAAGCTACACATGTAACTTTGGGCTGGAGCTGCAGACCTGAAATCAAAACTGGCAAGAAGTTTATTCAAATAATGAGAAGGGAATGGAGTGCCTCTTTTCCTTGCTCAGGGTGATAAATAAGCACCTAGATCATGAAAAGCAAATCAAGCACCATATCATAAGCATCAGAGATGATCTTCAAGTGGAAAGGAAAATTGCCCATGTTAATAGTCCAATACAATATTTATAAAGCAGGTTTTTAGAAGCAGGTGGATGCACACAGGCCAAGCTCACTTTGCTGTGTCCTGATGTGGCTGGTTGCAAGCCAGCCCTGTACTGGAAGTTATCAAGCTGTCTGAGCAGACTCCAGGACTTACTGGCATGGCTGTGGGCACCCGGATGCACGACCCAAAAGGGTCTGGCAGAGGCTGCCTGATGCTTGGTTATCTCACAGCTTGGGCAAAGCAAGTCTGAATCTGCCTCCTTTTGAATACATCCAAGACTATTATCTACATTTAGTGTGTAGGGTTAATTTCAGCAATCATACGCACAATTATTATATGCACTAGTTTGGAATTCATGATGTACCTAACCCAAAACTCATTCAAAAATCCTCCCTAAGAAAAAAAGGATTAGCTATTTTATTCCTTCTCAGGATTTTTGCACATCAGTTGTTTCTGTGGCTTCCAAATGAGGAGCATGCTTGTCACTGCTTGTAAAACCCAAAGAACTTGAGTTTATCCAAGTAGCAAGATATAGACCTATGTTCTTTAGATAACATGGACAGGACCTGGTTTTCTGCTTTGGTGGTCTGTAGTATCCAGGATGGATTGCAGCACATGTGTTTATTACACATGAGCCAAGCTTTGCAGTCAGGGTACATTTTGGATCATACTGGATGGCCATGTTCATGGCAAAAACCTGAGATCTGAACAGGAGCCTGAGAATCTATTCTGAAAGTCATCCCTGGTACATATCACATTTGACTGAATCCCATTTACCTGCCAATCTTTTAACTGATTGTTTCTCTTTAAATTTTCTGGTTCATCATATCAGTGATCAGTGCCAGGGACTGCAGTGAGAGCAAAAGCAAGCCCTGGCAGAGGGTGGCAAAGGCGTTTTGTGAGTACTTTAACTCCCTGCTTGTGAGAAATGGACTGCTTCAATTTCACACTGAAAGCATCCATGTGCTGCTACAATATGGTAGATTATTTTTGCTTTAGAAAGCTCACTGTGACATTTTATGTCTATTTGATCTCTTCTATTTTTAAAAGGCTTGCTAGCAATTTACTTCAGCAATGGAATAGGAAGAAAAATGTGCTGTTAACTATAGAATATTGCCTCTTTTCTAAATGGCCCTGAAAGGTGGTAAAATATAAGATCCGGTTGCACGTTCACAGTGCCC